CAGGAATTTTACTACTGATTAACAATGGGAACTGAATGAAGTCAAAGCTGAGCCTTTCTGCAAACCCCACCTTTACAGAGCAGTATTGTTCCTTCCCCCCAGAGCTGAGCAGAGGCATGTTTCAGATAATCAGCAAGAAAGCCTGCATTTCAAGTCAACCAAAGGGGGAAAAATGCTAGAAACTTGATTATCAGCCTCAGAAATGCTGGGATGTAATAGCAGAACAGGCGACGGCACTTAAGACGGGATGAAAAGATAAAGTGGGTGAAGGTAGTGCTCACATAGATTCTGACAAAGAAAGAAGGAAAGAAAGAGGGAACAAGCAAGCACTGGGAACAAAAGGCCAAACTCTGCCCTTACATGAGCTCACACAAATCCGGCTGAAGTCAATGAGGGGCAGATCTGGGAAGGGTGGGAACACTCGCCTTTTCTTTTGTTTACCATATGAAAATGTAGTATTTTTAAAGCTAGCAGGATTCATAGCTGGGCAGCATAAGGCTGGGTGCAGCAAATAAGTGCTCCATGCTGAAAGGAAAAAAAAAAAAAAAAAAGGAAACCCCAAAAGTGCTAGTCATCAAACCAAAATCATGACATTAAGAAGATCAAATTATATGTACGCTAAAAAAATAAATACTGGCACTTTGTGACCTAATGTCTATTACTGCAAGGCATCCACAGCCACAGAACGTTAGGTCATTACCCCAATACTAATATTAAACAATAATTACGAGTAATAAACTCTAGAGAAGAAAACAAATGGCTTTCCTCTTTTTTTTATATATTTGTAGTAGTGAATAGACCTCTAGTGGCAACAGTAGAAATATCCTATGAAGTCATAAATAAGTTACCTGTGTAAGAAAAAATGCTGTAGATAATAACTTCTGAACAAAATGGATAGTGAGCAACAAATAATACGTTGAGTAATCAAACGTAAGTTCTTTTGCATGTGAATGGCAAGGTGATATTTAGTTCTACGCTCTACGACTTATCCACAGTGACATTTGCTGTTTTCACTGGAACAAGTAAGTGTCAGTGGCGAGAAATAGTAGAAAGTTGCCTGCTCCTATTGATAGTCGTAATTTATTTTGTGCCTGCTATTATCGATTTTGGTACAGTTGCCCTGAGATTAGCTTTTGTTCTCAAAGCTGTATTTAATGCCTTTGACAAAGAAGAGAGAACTGAAACACTGCAAATGATCAGCAAGGATTTAGTCCACATTCACAGCAGTGGGAAAGTGTTGCAGAGTTGCCCAGCTAAAAGATCTGATATACTTTCACAGGCCTAGAAGAACGAAGAGGAGAAAGAATCAAATTAAAAGTCTAAACGAAAAAACTTTTACCTTCAACTTGTTCTTCTCCTTCTCATCAGTCGTCAGTACCCTTTTCAAAAGAGAATCAGAAATTTCGAATCCTAACTCCTATTCCTTTTCAGTTAGGCATTAGATTCCCAAGAGGTTAAGTTAGTTTTGAAGATGACACTGAAGTGCATGGCGTTTTATGTCTAGTGGGGGAAAAAGTCCCCATTTTGCAATTAAAAGAAAAAATATATATTAGAAGACCATTATTCCAGCAAGGGCATGCATTAGAAAAGGGAGGCAGAAAGGGGGGAGAAAACAGATATGAAGGGAAGATGGAGAAAGACAGCCTAACAGAAATGTGAATGTGACAATACACATGCATACGCATGCTCTGAATGACGCGTCCATTTGTGCCTATCTGGTTATATGCCAAGGGATATTGTCTGACGCTAATATAAAGCACAGACTTCCGTTTATCTTAGAAATGAGATTTTAGGGTGTGATTAAGCAGTCCCATAGAAAAGCTCGTGCACAGGGCTCTCAGTCCAATGGTAGGCTGATCTGCATCCCCCTAACCTGCTGGTTAATGGTCCTAGAGCAGTGTGAGGGAGACTCCAGTCCCTATGGCTCCATGGAAAATGTTGCAGAGAGTTTTGGGCAGCTGGAGAACAGTTAAAGCTACTCCTCCACCTCATACTTCAGGAGGTGGCTGGCAGGGTGTCTAGAGTCTTTCTGCTGACAATTTTTCCACAAAACCTTTGAATGTCAAAGGTTTTGTCGCTGGCTTTGACCTTTGTGTCTTCATGCGTGATTTCTCCATCCACAGAAAGAGGGAAAGGCCAGTCAGCGCTCTCCTGTTTCCCATTTATCTCTTCTATCCTTCACTTGGTCCAGAAATGCTTCTCGGTCACTCGACATCTCCAAAAGCCTTCCTTCATGACCTACTACTATGATTTTTGACCGGAAATGCTATCTGCCTCCTCAGGTTTTTCCCCAAAATGCTGAGAGACTCTTTTCCCCACATCTTAGGCTCTGACATTTGAGCATCAGGAACCATCCTGATCCACAAAAACTGTATTCCTGCCTGAACGAAGGCATCTTTGTGCTACCAAGGTAGTGAAAAGCAGTCATCAAATAACAAAAGAAAAAGCCCATATCATCTTCATCAGTTTACTAATTGACATGCTGTGAGGAGTCTTATTACAGTGCAAAAAGTCTAACGAACCTAGCTCTGTGTAATGCACCTATGGCCTTAAGGCGGGATAGGAGTTCCTCCAGGTTTTCATTTTTCTATGGAGATGGGATGGGGAAGTAACAATATTCCCTTGTTCAAGTGGAGACCTGCAACATCAAAGGGCTAAAGAGTTTCATGAGGCACACGGACGCGTGGAGCGGGGAGCTGAACAAGGTGCAAGGCTTGCACCTGGAGGCCCACTGGTCCGCCTGTCCTCCCTAAGAAACATCCTTACTGGAGCTGGAGAGGCAGCAGCCACCTGAGGGCTAAACACCTTCACCTGAGGGCTAAACACCTTCACCTGCAGCAGGACCATGTGTACATCCACCACACCTCAGGCGAAAGGCTACTTGGCAAAACACTCTGCATATGCCAGTGTCTTCCTGCGCTGCTCCTTTCAGTGGGACCCCGGCAATGGCACATCCATCCATGCCAAATACAGTGTATTAGCTGCATCTCGTCTGACGTGAAAGTCAGTGCTGAAACAGGGAAAGTATCTCGCTCTCTGGGTGCTATTGTTTCAGTCTGCCTAGCTGCAGGCACAAAGAGGCCACACTTTCAGTTTAGACAGTTTGGGTTGTTTTGGAATGAGAAAGGGCTGGAAATCTCTTCCTTAACTTTTTACTCACAGGAGAATAAATCCAGATGGTCTAACTTCCCTCCTTAAATTTTTCTTGTATTTTTCTTTTTCTTCTCTCTCTCTTTTTTTTTTTTTTCTGCCCTGGAACTTAATATCCCACTTGTCATCCTTGCTGGTATCCTCTCCTGGGCAGTGCTCTGGCGGTACAGTCTGCAGCACATCCCATCTCAAGTCCAATAAATGCCATAACACATGCAACAGCAGGCTTGTATTCTCTCTGAGCTGGTTTTCCCTTTCCTGGCTGCTTTTCATGACTCAAGAGACACAAAGGGGTGGAAGCAGGCTGTGGCCCCCAACTG